CCAAAATTCGTAAAATAATGTTTGATATGCCGATGTATCGTGAATAGTTTCGTCGAATATTGTTTTATGTATCCTTAAGACATCTCATTCAATATTTTTTTTGGCAAAAGAACGTTGTATGTGCACATGCGACCCATTATACTTGAAAAGGCATAGTTTATAAAACAAATAATTATATTATCATAAACGGTACTAACTTCTGTGCATACTGTACAAATATTAAGTAGCTAGTATCATTTATAACAGATTTATAAGCAAATATGTGCGCGCGAAATTTATAATCGCTCTACTGAAAAGTCGACAATTTGCAAATAGAACATTATTCTACTAATGGGACGATATATATACCTTGATTCAAGGCCGGATCCAATGGAGTCATGCGGGTCACGACAAAAAACAGTTTTTTTGCAATATCTATCTCTTTTTCTGTACATTTTAATAGAAAAACATTGATTACAAAATTAAGCTGCTTACAATTTTCTACAATTTTTGTCTTTTGCAGCATTTTTGTAATACAAGTAGTTCTGATACTAGAGCACAGCAAAGTACATATCATTTTGGAAATAAAATATTTTCATACCATGTCAAAATAGAAAAAGCTGCGAATATTTTTATAGTCTAGTCTTCTATAGGTTTAATGATTATGTGATTGTGATACACTCTTTAGGAACTTGCTGTAATTCGAAATGCCAAGCTATCGAGGGTATCACGTGTTATTGTGAGTCAACCATAAAATATAGACATACCTATACTGTCGTGGGATATTTTTTATATAATTTTAAGGAAATATTTCTGTCATTCATGATTTCTGTGGCTACATAGAAATCATGTGTTATGTGTAAAGCTAGTTAACTATTAAAGTGGCACATGCGACGAAAGACTAAAAATGGAGTAACTATTTCACAACATTTCCCTTCACTGCTCTGCTTTATTGATTGTAGTGTGATTTCAGCTCATTAGTATAAAAATAATTGCACCAATTTTCGTTAAATTCGTCGAGTAGTTTTTGTTTCTATAACGGTTTTACAGACAGACAGACAAAAAATAAACTAAATATAATTATTCATTAAAACCTTTAAAATATACCTAATATTCAGCTGCTTACAACTTTGTGACCACTAAGTTCTCCTCCTTTTTTTTGAAGTCGGTTAAAACCTCTCTACGGATTTACTATAAGTATAGAAGATATAATGTAAAGCTCAAGAGTTTATTTTTAAGCGATATTCTCAGGAACTACTAGTCCAATTAGTAAAAATATTTTTGTGTTGACAATTTCATTTATCGTAAATGAAAAAAATTGACATCGGCTAACGGCTGTAAAACATTAAAACATCACGGTACAATCAATGAGCAAAGCGGGTGAAATCGCGCGGATGTAGCTAGCGGAATATAAATAGGGTTCCCCCATTTTTTTTTTAATAAAACGTTGCCCCCGTTTGGGTTTTCTCCTGTATCGGGGTCCGTTTACAAACATACAATTTCACATACAGACACCCAGACCATAATAACTATTAATAGAAATTTAATTAGATTATATTTTGCTCCATATGTTGCTGTGCCCTAGCCGGGTTTCATGTTGAAACTGTACCTTATGTAACGCCAATAATTGTACACATGATATGCAATAAAAAAATTTGAATTTGAATTTGAATTTGAACAATTTGTGGAACAAACAAAGTGTTGTTCCATACGGGAATCGAACCCACGACACGTTGCACGGCAGCCGGTTGCCCAGCCACCGCACCATCCGTGCAGACACGTGATATTGCTTGCCTGGATGTCTTCAAGAGAAGATGGCAATATGTTCGTGTATTCATATGTACAAGTCAGTATGTGTCACAGATTAGGGCTGGATATTTCCACAAGAATTCAAGAAACTTTGTTTGACGGCACGGTTGGTGCGGTGGCTGGGCAACCAGCTGACACGCAACGTGTCGCGGGTTCGATTCCCGCACGGATCAACTCTTTGTGTGATCCACAAAATTTTTATTTTCTGGTCTGGGTGTCATGTATATGTGAATTTATTTGTTTGTAACAGCACTCACAACACAGGAGAAAATCCAAGTGTGGGGCAACGATTTAATAGAGAAAAAAACAGCTTGGGTTCAGATTCATCATCATTTGGAGGGGTGGCCTTGTGTAGGTACACAGATTTCCCGCGTTACTGCTGAGTGCCGATGTCATCGGCCCACCTAGCAACCTAGCAGGAGTCCTGTATACGGTCGCCACTCTAGCACTTACTCCTTCAGCTTGCAGCTTGCCTGGTTTGTAAGAAATTTCCACATTTTGATACAAACCAGGAGGCACCTCCTCCTTCAAGCATTCAAGAAGTCAGGAAACCCATGAACAAGAATTCCGTTTAAAGTATAAAATTAATACTCACAATGAATTTCATCGCTGCGACACTCGCACACTGGAGTAATGAGACTATCCTCAGTGGTGCTGGGGTCGAAATGAAAAGATAATAGAGATCATAATAACATTTATAATTATAAATATATACACTACAAGTTATCTTTTTACGGTGTCAAACAGTAATGTATTCTTTTATGCAATAAGTTTCTTATTGTAATTTGAAAATAATAGCTGTGCCCGCGGCTTCGTCTATATTGAAAGTACAAATTTAATGTTCTGTTTCACCTACCTAGCTAGGAACATATTATTATAAATTTACATTTGCACAAGACATGTAAAATATTCGAAGGGAAAAAATATTTTCCTAAAATAACTCATAACAATTATCCTAAATACTACCTATATCTGAATAATGAAATGCATACGATATACATATTTGAAAAATTTCCTATTAAATACTACAGAATAGGAATAAAGTGACCCAAGTTATACAGTTTACTGAATTTCTAAAGAACACCTTAAGTTGAGTTTAAACCGTAGTTTGGATACTAATACGTGGAGGACCGTCTTTACGATAAGGGCACTCGGGCCCGTGCCCAGGTCCCACATCCTCAGGTGGTCCAATCCAAGGAAGAACCGACCGAAACGAAGAACGTCCACGGATACAGCCGCTACACTTTGTAAAGAGATATCGTGAAATGGGCCCCGAATTATTTTGTGCCAAGTCCCAGCGTAGCCTAAGATGGCCCGAATACGTGAATAGTCAACATTTAGATATTAAGGTAAACGTAATTGCTAATGATTTTGGAGTTGTCCATGGCAGTATTTTAGGTCCAACACTGTTTTATCATACATCGTCATCACCATCATGATTGTATATGATGATGATGAAAAATAAATTGTACTTCTACGTAGGAATAATATAACGTAACCGACTAAAGTCAATATTATTAGTACACTTCTGCTCATTTCAGGGATATCAGGTCGATACTGCATTGTAATTTGTTTGAACAGCTATCTATGTTTTCGTTAACCTATAAAATAAATCTTAGAAATAAAGCCTGGCCAGAACAATAAAAAAACTCGCCATATTGCGAAATTTTTAAAACTAATTTTCGTCATACGTCTTGATAGAAGATTGACAGTTAAAACACGAAAGCGACCTCCTGACAGGTTTATTATATTTCAGGTCAGGCTGTACATTAGTCTAGAATCACTAGTCTAGATTACGCCGCCAAGTCGAGCGCTAAGCAAACACTGCCGTACCATCCTTTACTGAAAGCATTTCTCCGCATATTCAGGGGGCCTAAATATATTAATAATATTTGAGAACCCATCGTCATCATATACTTGAAATCCAAAATTTTAAGTCTACAGGTCATTTAGTTCCGAAGTTAAGCGAAAGCAAAGTTTCACATTTATGACACTCACTCACTCACTCACGATCATCAAAATAGAACTAGTACTTCCCATAACCTCAGAGAGCTGAAATTTGAATGAATTTACAGAGTTAGGGTTTTATGTCCACATAAAGGGAAAACTATAAAAATTAGGATAATCGATGATCTGGACTAACTGGTGATCCTGATTAGATTAAATAAACAAATTACACTAAAATATTCATTTCACTAAAATATTCATTTCACTAAAAATTTGGTCAAAATATAATAACGGTCAACGGCAAAGTAACACAACGTTAACTATAATAATAACGAAATTGCAATAAGGAACCGTAGACTTGTCGCGAATATATTATTTATTAATTAATATTATATATATATATATATATATTATTTAATAATTATTAATTAATATTTCATTAGTTTTTAGAGATAACCTAGCAGCTCCATCGAGACTTCGCAAATTTTTTTACAGAATGTTTTTGGTGGGATAGTATTTGACAGGATGGACAAAAAATGTTTGACAGGTACGAAACAAAGTAACATTAAGAAAAAATGATTCATCTTTTATAATTATGTTCTCGTCGAGTTTTCATTATTTTTAAGATGTATTCTGCTATTCCAAGCGAAGACAAATCCAACGAACCAAAAACCATGAAAATTGGTCTAGCCAATCTCGAGTTATAAGTGTTGTAACAAACCCGTCTTTGTTTTATATATTGAAAAGATTATGAATTTATTTTATAAGAGTGTGCTCTGATTGTAGTAGTCTGACCCGAGTGCTTGATAACATCGTCGTCGCTTGTGTTTGGTTTTTCCAAAATGCTAAAACTATCTTTGTTTTTTTTTATTAATAAACATCTTTTTTTTATGGCATTAGCCGGTAAACTACCAGACGGATCACCTGATGGTAAGCAATCGGCGTCGCCCATGGACACCTGGAACACCAAAGGCGTTACAAGTGCGTCACCGGCTTTTTGGGGATTAGGAGTTTGAGGATCGTTGGGGATTCAGGAATTGGGGAGATTGGGGAAGGGGAAGGTAATTGGGCCTCCGGTAAACTCACTCACACGACTAAACACAACGCAAGTGTTGCTTCACGTCGGTTTTCTGTGAGGCCGTGCACTGGTACTTATATCGTCAAAATAGAATTGTTTTTCCGTCTGACAGTGAAGTTCAATACGATGCGTGAAAGAGTAATTTATTAAAAAATGTGATGGAGCTTATTAAGAGGCTAATATTATAGAGTCAAGTCAAAGTCAAAATCATTTATTTCAATTAGACCAGGTTGCTTACTCTTGAAACCAATCTCAATGTCAATGCAATTTCAATTCAATAAAATCTCAATAATTTTTCAATGTCAAAACTATACAAACCTAACCTTAACTGTTTCAATAGCAGTCAGAGTACGAAATATAAAGCCAAACTCAATACCATTTAGTTCATTCAATATCAATGCATATGATATGATGCCATGGGCGCCAGTGTTGCAACTCAAGAGTACGAAATTTTACAATATTAATGTCGATCGATCGGAATTGGATTCAAGAGTAAGCACCCAGATAGGCACTTTTGAACGTCAACAACAAAAATTTAGAAGTGAAGCTAGTTGCTCATTCCGAGGTATAGATTCCTATGGAGAAGAACGAGCAAGAAACTCCATAGATTACTCTTTTTCAATCGGGTTTACAATACAATTCTCTACATAGTTTTGTTGGTTCAATTGTGGGAGATAGATAGAAGACAATGCAACACCTATATCCAGTTAAAAAGATTGAAAAAGAAAACAAACCTTGAGGACAATAAAATCATACAGTCTGGAGCTGACCAGTCCCAATTGACGGCGCCCGTTCACGAACACGACACGTACACCAGCATCGCCCAACTCAACCATTTTCTAGGAAATCGAGCGATCCAATGCACGTGCCACCGCCAATGACATCTTTTATTGAGAATGACAACTCCAAGCTGACACAAACGCATTCTACTAGTCTAGTTTAATTTAATTAATTACAGGGCTCTACAAACTATACAAACATTTAAGCAACATTATTATATTATTACATAAGTAGAATTCATTGAACATTCCTGTATTTCATGTATTATCCTGCGGAGCCGAACCAGCTTGCCTCCAAGCTTTTTTATCCTATATATAATCATTTAGATTTTAGTATGCTTGTCTACGTTAACGTTTTTTTAACAAATACTTATAATAATTTTCTTGCATTTTGATGCAGTATTTCTTAGGGGATTTTGTTATAACATTTAACATCGAACAACAACAAAACAGTGAAAAGTGGGTGTTACTTCTGTGTGCCCCTCTGCCTACCCCTTCGGGGATAAAAGGCGTGATGTTATATTATGTTATGTTATTTAACATCGAATCCCATGAACGACTATGTACTATTGACAATCTAAAAAATGGCGGACGTAATCTATTCTTAAATCTAGTTTGATAATTGTGTCTGTCAGACACTTTGCCAAACAAATGTAGGTTTTTCCTAACATACATAATATTTTAGAGAGAGATAGCATTCAACCCTTGGGGCTCATACAAGCATGTATTTATATATAAAGAAATAATCTTGCACGGCGTCACAAGATGATAAGATGGGTCTGTATAAATGTTACTGTGATGTGCACATCTCGTCAGTTTTACGCCCAGCTCAAACAGTGAGGTCAGTCTCAGTTTTGCAGTGTGTGAATACCGAAGCAATGAAGTTCATTGTGAGTACTCCTTCCTTATTAATTATACAGTCACTTCTCGCTGTATCTAAATTCGAAGGAGTCTTAAAATAAATGTTTGAGATATGAAATTTGAACTTGCCTCAGAATTTAAGTTCTTACTTTTTGCAAATTTTGAGATATTTCAGCCCCTTTATCTCTGCACCTTCGAATTATAGAGAGAATGACGCCGATAAGTTCCAATATCGAGATGATGATGTTTTATAAGAAACTAGCTTCTGCCCGCGACTTCGTACGCGCAATTCCGTTTTCTCTCGTTCCCGTAGGATTTTTAGGATTTATTTCTGTCATAAGAACCTTCTCCTGACAATAACAAACTCAACAAAAAAAATTGGCGTCGCCCATGGACACCTGGAACACCAGAGGCGTTACAAGTGCGTTACCGGCCTTTTGGGGATTAGGAGTTTGAGGATCGTTGGGGATTCAGGAATTGGGGAGATTGGGAAACGGGAGGGTAATTGGGCCTCCGGTAACCTTACTCACACGACGAAACACAACGCAAGCGTTGCTTCACATCGATTTTTTGTGAGGCCGTGGTATCACTCCGGTCGAGCCGGCCCATTCGTGCCGAAGCATGGCTCTCCCACACTTAAACGTGAAGGAAATGAATATATCTTGACCAAGCATTGGTTTGATAAGGATGTTACAATTGTGTATGTAGGTGTGTTTTAAAGGTTACAATAATTGTTACAGGTATGTGTCTTCTTATTCTTGGCGATCTTGGAGGGATTCCAATGTGAGTATTCTAATGATTAACGTTATAAAAAACACATCTTTTAACCCTAAAAAATGTCGTCATGCAGTCATAAGATGATGGACCCAAGTTTATTTTATTTGAATGTATTTATGCTTGAGACTCTTGCACTGACTGTCTTCTGAACACATCTGAGTGTTGGGCAAAGAGACAGATTATGCTCTGACATAACATAAAAAAATTAAAAAATTTGATTCCGATGAAGGCAATCTATTTTTCTTCTTCTTGGGGCATCGAGCATTTCTTTCTTTATTTAAACAAGAGTTTATTTATTTATTTTTTCTTGTATAGAAGCACTATTTTATATGGATTATCAGTATACATATGTGAGGACCATGTCAGACTTAAGATATTTGTTTTCTCTTGGTTTTGTTTTTTAATTTAGTACGTTCTGTTATTTGTATGTTGCGTCAGGTATCTTTTTACATTATTCTCACATGTGTATACAATATTGGAAAATGTATCAGAGCAGTGTAAAAAACAGACTTTTTTTAAAAGAGTAACGAATGGTGTTTCTTGCTCATTCTTCTTCACTCGAATCGACATTTTAGAACGAGCGCCTAGCTTCACTGACGGACAGACTGATAGACTATTATTTATTTCATATTTGTTGACGTTTCAAAAGTATCAAATTATGGTTTAATTGGAATAAATGCTTTTGAGTTTGAGTTTGAAAACACTTCGTGCCCTGCTACTGACATAAAGGTTTATATTAAACAGTTTAACACACATTTTCTTTGTTACAGGTGCGCCAACATTTTGCTTATTTTGGCCGTGTTATCGAGCAAATCAATATTCCAATTCACAAACAATAACTTATCAAAATGTTTTCACGAATACTGGTAACAATAATGTCATGATAGTTGGTGGGGGCGGCAGAGGTCTCTTTGGACAATTATTGTTATTATAATAAGATATATGTTTTATAATAACTATTGTAAGACTAAATTAACTTAAAAATCGCAGGTTACTCACGTTTTCACGTGAGAAAAGTTCTACTAGTTTCGGACCACAGAGGGGTTCTTCCTCGTGGGTGGCGTGCGCAGTAGCGGCAGTGTTTCTGTGTTACTCATTATTTTTATGTGAGTAACCCGCGATTTTTTAGTTTAATAAGATGTATGGATGTTGTCTGAGAATCATGAGGAGTTATACTTAAACCGAGGACCAAATCATGGCATTGTTACTTTGGCAGAACAAAAATGTTAATCGTGATGGACAGCTACCTGTGGGCGGCGTTTCGTTCAACATTCGTGCCTGTTGAAATATCGTACCCAAATTTTTTCACACAAAAGTAGTCTCTAAACATCGGAAATAAGGTCTATATTGTAGTTTAGAGCGGTCACCTGTGACCGCTTGGGGATTGTCATAAGACTCAACATTGCACGTCTCCAAATTATAGTAATAAAATTTAATTCAGTATTTAAATCCTGATTTTTATTTTCCACACACACATAGTCATCATCACTGCTTCTTCTTCAAAACATAGACAGATGTGTATTAGTCACGTTGTTTAGTATGCAGGTACGATTGATTTAGTGCAGATATAGTAACCATTGCTTGACCAATAGTTAGAAGAGATATGGCATCGTTATAAAACCTATTTAGTAAGACAATAGTTACTAAATCAACTAAAAATCGCGGGTTACTCACGTGTATACACTGAGAAAAGCTCTACTAGTTTCGTTTTACCTCTGAGTTCTTCCTCATGAGCAGCGTGCGCGGTCGAGGCGATGTCGCGCAGCCTACTGCTGGTTCGAAACTAGTAGAGCTTTTCTCAGTATATTCACGTGAGTAAACCGGATATTTTAGTTAATTTACTATATCTCACGATAGTTATTATAAAAACAATAGTCATTGTCTTTTTCTTAGCTGCATAATCAATAAGTTGGCTATAAATCTTGTCTTATAAATATATGAACAATATGGTTGAATAATATAATGTTAAAGTCATCTTACAAGTAGTAAGTATAGCATTCTTTATAATATCTAATCACAGCTTCAACTATCATTGTAGGACAATATCCTATTTCGATTATTTAGTAAAATGTACACTCAACTTAATCTTAATCCTATATTCTATGAATTTGAGATTCATGTGTCTAAAATTATATTATCATTGTGTATTTGATGATTGCAACTAGTTATGTTTCTGCTACCGACAGAGGGTGCAAATGAAAACTATAATCATTAAACTAAGTTTATTGTACGGTTTCATAACCGTACATAGCACGTATAGTCGACGCAGCAATATTGAATGCGCGTCACCCAATGCATAGCATATATAATTTAGCGTATTACATTAATCGTAGTAGTAGAACTTTATCTACCAACCAACGTCCAGCAAAGAAATACGACAACGTTATTTGTAACTATTACCAAACTTAATATACGCAACTAGCAACTAGAACTTGTGATCTTTTCTGTGAGCTACTACACCTTCTACAACCACAAACTACAGTATAAGGATCTAACTGGATCTTACATTTATTATAATTAAAATTACATGTTAACTCTTAAAATCTAACTAACCTAAGAGCGAATGCGTTCGATGTTGGAACAACACTGCTTTCTTATCTTAAAATTCTTTATTATAAAATTAGTATGAAGGTTTTATTGAGGTTAAATCTAGTGGGGTGAACGATGATGCAGCAATTCGTAGCTGGGCACAAGGCGACGACAAGAGGAGACGACTCAGCAGTTCGAATGTTGCAATACTCCGTAGAACCTTCGTTGCATCAAAGTAGGTGTAATGTTCTGATTCAGCAGATCTGGGCGTGGTGACATGGCGTTGATCACGGTGTAGGTACATGTGTCGGCACCGATACGTAACAAACTGGTAAATAAACAGCTGAAGTAAGATAATTAAAAAATAAATTTAGTTCAAAAGCGTTTCTTTTTTGTTTTTTCAATTTTAGAGTAACCGTGGGTGTCATTTGGAAATTAATACTAAAAGTTGGGTAACATAACATAACATAACATCACGCCTTTTATCCTCGGAGGGGTAGGCAGAGGTGCACATTATGCCACTGTACAATGTAACACCCACTTTTCAATATTTATGTTATGAGTCCCATGTAATAGGGGTGAGCCTATTGTCATATACCGGGCACAATTCCAGACTCCGTGCTACTACTGAGAATTTTGTAAAAACCCAGTAATACTTTGCCCGACCCGGGAATCGAATCCTTGCCCGGAAATTGCACTTGCGACCACTCGGCCAACGAGGCAGTCACTAAAAGTTGGATACATATTATAGTAACCGTCATATGACAATGTAGTCTAATTACATATCAACATCAACATAACACGCCTTTTATCCCCGAAGGGGTAGGCAGAGGTGCACATTACGGCACTTAATGCCACTGTACAACGTAACTCGTAACACTCAGTTTTCACTATTTATGTTATGAGTCCCACGTAATAGGGGGTGAGCCTATTGCCATATACCGGGCACAATTCAAGACTCCGTGCTACCTACTACGGAGTTTTCTTAAAAACTCACTAATACTTAGCCCGACCCCGAAGACGAACCCGAGACCTCTTACTCGGCAATCGCAACTGCGACCACTCGGCTAATAAGTCAGTCCCGAAAGGGTAGGCAGAGGTGCACATTAGGGCACTTAATGTCACTGTGCAACGTAACACCCAGTTTTCACTATTTATGTTATGAGTCTTATGTAATAGGGGGTGGGGGTGGGGTGAGCCTATTGCCATATATTAAACCATCCTCTTGGCAACCTTTAGTAAGTACAAGTTCTTCTAAATATACCAGCTCCGGCTATATACATGCTTAGAACCTAACGGGTAACCGGGGCTCCGACTCGAAGTGCAGGAGAAGGAACGGGGTGGTTTTTAGTCAGTAAGAGTCTGACACTGCCTCCCGCCTCACCCAGGCGGGAGCAGTCATTCGACGACTTTCCCCCTTTAAAAAAAAAAGGGTAAAAGAAACGAATGAATAAATAAATTAATTAATTAATGAATTTATTTCACTCAAAAATCGTAATGGTAATAACCATAAAACAATAAGAAATAATAATAAGAAAATTATATGTTGGTCTTTACACATAAGAAACATTTAAGTATTGTATTAAACAAAGAAGTTTTTTAACGTCCACACTTGTCAAGAGCTTCGAAACGGATATTTCGAAAATATGTATATACCTATAGACGCCACTGGAGCTTCTAAATAAACTTAGAAAATAACGGTTGCTTATACATAACTGGCGGCCCGTCCCGGCTTCGCACGGGGGGACTTAAGATTTTTTACATAGTTTTACATTTTATTTATATTTATTCTCAGTGTTTTTTTTATTTAGGAAGTATTTACCTTTTGAAAATATTTTTTTTTGTTAAAGCTTTTTGTTTTTTTTAAGGTTTTTTTTTGTTGTTTTAAGGTTTTTTGAACAATTCAAAAGTTATCTAGAGCAAACTTTTATAAGGATTGAACCATTCATTAAAACGATTGTTATGGGTAAACTACTATAAAAGGTAGACATATGCTCTCGCGGACTTTTTTAAAAATAATGTTAGGATGAACAATTCATCTATAGAGCATTTTTGTATAACTTTAACTATATGCTCAGCGCACGCCACGGAAGGCCTCAGAAACGATACTTTTCCCCCGTTTTTAAAACATTTTTGGTTACTGCTCCACAACTATAGGACCTAGCCTGATATTATATAGCCTATGTTACTTCTGAATAATGCAGCTTTCTAATGGTGAAAAAATTATTGCAATCGGTCCAGTAGTTTTTGAGTTTATTCATTACAAACATACAAAAATACAAATCTTTCCTCTTTATAATATTAGTATAGATACATATGACAAAATGGAAGTCGTAAGACGATCAAAATTTATAACATAAAATAAAATAAATTAAAATAAGCCTTTATTGCTGAAGTTACAATTAACAAAAATTACAGTTGTAACCAAAGAGTTAAGAAATAAAACAAACTTAAACACTACTTTAACATAATCTCAGCAATCGGATTATCTTCTCTTACAGCAGCTTGCCTTTCGACAAAGGCTTGTTTCTGTCAAAACATATTATAATGCTAAACTAAAATACAGGCTACCCATACAGAGTCCACTGATCTGCCCACCTGGGCCTCTGCCCAGGCCCAGCTCTGTGCGCATGTACATTGCTTTAACCCACTTTTTACCAATTGTATTATGAATGTTATACAACAGCCTACCATAGGTACACCTGACAGATGTACACGGATCTAGAGGCCATGCTTTTACCTGGCTTGTAATTCTTTGGCTAGCCAGGAAATATAAAACTCGAACTCCCTTGTTCGGCAGACACACTGTTCTGACGAGCCACTTATTATCAGTAAGTTAGTGTATGATAGGAGATATCAGCTAAATTATACTATTTTAGTATTTGCCCGCTGTGTTACTCGAGCTCTTTTAAGAGGTTGAGGGCAGATTTACAAAATAAACTACGCATGATTTTTATTAACTCGTCGAGTACCGGTTTTGTAGACACAATTATAGAACAATAGGTTGCGGTCACCAGTGACCGCTTGGTGTTTGACAGTTTAATCGCAAATAGTCCGCAAATAATTTTTGAGCTTTTTTCCTTAAAATTCTGAAATGCTTCATAAAAACTTCTACCGGTGTGGACACATAACATCACGCCTATTATCCCCGAAGGGGTAGGCAGAGGTGCAAATTATGTCACTGTACAATGGCTTCAGTATCGACTGTAGATCACGCTCCAAGTATTATTTTAGTACCTCTAAAGGGCGGCCAACACCCACTTTTCACTATTTATGTTATAAATATGATGTTATTTATTTATGTAATGATACCGGTGTGGAATGTGTGCCATTTTATAAAGAGACCTAAGTCACTCTCCATCTCTTATTATCTTCATATCTTCAGCTTTTAAAATTAAAGTTTGTGCCCTTATAAGGTCCATAAATGTACTTATCTTTAAATCTATTGTAACACCTTATTCACTTTATGGTACGCAAATAAATGAATATGAATAATTATCTCCACTTGAAAAACACCTCACTACATCACGCCATTTTGCCGTGAAAGACGGACAAACAAATAAACAGACACACAAACTTTGATATTTATATATCGAGTAGGTGTAATCGGGTGTAGCAGCAAGTACATACCTACATAAACTCCCACCTTTTTCCTGGATAGTAGGAAAACAAAAATATACTCTAATAAAAGCTGATTAGCTCCATTATTGGAAGTCATACATAATTATTTTCCTTGAATCGTTACTTATCTGTGTCCAGAAAGAATACCTCTTTGTGCTATTGAAATCCCCAATGATGATAACGAAATGGGATGGTTTTATAGTTCAATGTTGTGAACTGTTTATCATTTTATAAACAATAACAATACACTTTTACAATAAAATTAACTACGTCTTAATTAGTTCTGCTGATAACTTTTCTACCAAATATCAAATTAAAAAGTTCTGAAATATAATTTCGACTTTTATAACTAAATAGATAAGGTTTAAAATGTAATAAAGACAAGTTTACTGCAGTTTCATTCTTTAAAAGCACCCTCCATTATTCTCCAGCGTCCTCTATTTTGTATTGACTACAGAAAAGTTACACACATTTTTTTAAATCCTTTTATTCGCGAAGGGGTAGGCAGAAGCGCACATTATGGCATGGAATACCACTGTACACCCACTTTTCACTAGACTATAGTCTCACACCCAATGAAGGGTGAGTCTATTGCCATATACCGCGTACAATTCCAGATTCCGTATTACTACTAAAAAAAGTCAAAGTCAGAGTCAAAATCATATATTTCATTTAGATCAGGAAGGCACCTTTGAACGTCAACAAAAATTTTAAAAGTGAAGCTATTATTTGCTCATTCCAAGGTGTAGATTCCTATGCAGAAGAACGAGCAAGAAATTCCATTGGTTACTCTTTTTCAATCAGGTTCATAATACAATTCTCTAGTTCCATAATTTTATTGTTCGGATTGTGCGAGAACAATGTAACACTAAAATCTAGTCAAAGAGATAGAATAAAAATAACCTTAAAGGCCAGTAAAAAATACAGTCTGGAGCTCACCAGTCCCAGTTGACGGCGCCCGTTCACGAACATGACACGTACCCCAGCACTACCCAACTCAACGATATTGTAGGGAATCGAGCGATCCAATGCACGTGCCACCGCCAATGAGACCTTTGAGTGAGTATGACAACTCCAAGTATGACACCTGACACAAATGTATTCTGCTAGTCTAATTTAATATTTAGTTAATAACAGGGTTCTCACATTTACAATGATTATGTAAGTTAAATAATATACAATTTAGCAACATGCCTGTATTAATTACGTGTTTGGATTTCATTGTAACATCAATGTTAATTCGTTATCGTGTGGAGCCGGACTAGCGTGCATCCAAGCATTTTTATCCTTTATATAATCATTAATTTTGATATATTATATCATGTATATATTTGTGTTAATTGTATTTAGTTTATATACTACCTCTATTAAGAATTTTAGTTAGGTATCTAGAATCTAGATTACGATATGAGCTTATGGCACCTACTTCTAACCTATCAGTGGATGGGTAACCTATCTGTACTAATAATAGTTATTTTTTGCTTTTTAGTTTTTATTTGTTAGTTATTTATTTTTTGAAGTCAGTTTTTTAAACGCAATTTTTTCGTTTGTCCGTTTTGATACATATAATCCACATAGGTGCAAAGTTCTAATGAATACAAATTATGCAAGCACCCACACAAGTATTTACTGTATACCGTTAAAGAGTTCCCTTAACAATTACACTTCTTCATCATCAGACCCTTAATGACAGTTCCTCCATCTAGGTGTAAAATTCTCATCAATGCAAATTAACTCGTCGAGTACCGGTTTTGTAGACACAATTATAGAACAATAGGTTACGGTCACCGGTGACCGCTTGGTGTTTGACAGTTTAATTAAGCCCAAACACAAGGTAGTTAATATAATCCGTTGAGGATTTCCCTCGACTGTCTGTCGGCTCCATCATTAGGTCGACTTCAGATGCTTATCAAAATTGTAGTGTTTAAAAATCTTAATTGAAAAACATAATAGACGATTTACTTGCTACAATTTTCGTAAGTTTCGCTCGAGTTCCCTAAAATTCCATCATCAGATCCTGATCTCATGAAAATGAGACCATCGCGGGAGTATATCCTTTCAAACAAAACAAGAATTTTGGAAAGCGGTTGACAAATGGCTAAGAAGTCGGTGAATAAACAAAAAAAATAAATCAACCGAATATAGTACTTACCTCTTCCTTTTTTTTGAAGTCGGTAAAAATATGTTGACATGTTCATACTAATATTATAGAGACGAATGTTTGTATGTTTATCTAATGTAAAATATTTCACTTTCCGAATACTTATTCATGGACTTAGTGTATTGACGACATTTGCCGGCTTATCCCATAAAAAATAGTAAACACTGTCAAATGTCAATTTTATTCTATAGTTATCTGTACTTATCTGTTAATTGAAAAACGGCCTTTATAGAAATTTACAAATTCCACGCAGGCAATACCGTGTCTACTGTGTTATGCCGGTTCGATTACTACTGCTTTAGTTTTTGCTGCTACTAGTAACAAAGATGTTACTGAATACAAAAAGATAATATTTTGTTAAAATAATATGTTAAATGCGACGTCACAAGGTGATAAGACGCGTGTGTATAAATGTTACTGTGATATGCCCGTCTCATCAGTCAGACACCCAGCTCCAGCAGTGAAGCTAGTCTCAGTATTGCAGGGCGCGAGTACCTATACCTACAACAGCGATGAAGTTCATTGTGAGTAGTATCTGTGCTTAATAATTAAAAATTAAGATGAGAATTCGAGAAGTACTTAATCTCATTTGTTATTGTCCCGTAATAAGGCATGATGAATTGATCTTTTGATATAAAGATAAAAACATTAAAAAAAAG